GTGCAGATCTGTCCTTGCAGAGGAGGAAGAGCTTGTACCTGAATAAAACCTGGTCTTAAAGGTGCCACTGGACTGTTTTGGACTGGGGGGCCAGGGTGGGGCTCTGCAGTTTACCTGGCTGCTTCTTGCTGTGACTGAGGGCTGCTGGGAGCAGGGGCGGGGCTTGTTGCATGTGCCCGCCCCCTGGGCTCTTTACTGCCAGAACTCCGCTCCTGTGCGCTCCTGCAGGAAATGACCCCTGGATACAAGGCCAAACGATACAAAACTATACAAAAGTTTATGTGGCATTTAAAAAAGACACTTAAGACTATACTATTTCCGGTCGGATTCTTATTGCAAACTGTAAAAACAGGGCTACCTTCTCAGTAATTTGGGGTCAGCAGTCGTTCAGAAGACAAGAAACCTTAATATGGTTAGAAAGGCCGGACATTCCAGCTAAAAATAAGGTTAAATGTTTAGCGCGCAGGTCTTGCATGTAAGTAACAGTGGAGGAGGATAGGTGACTTCCATTCAACCAGTGTTCCCTCTAAGCTAAGTTAGTGTGAGCCAGCTCACAGTGTTTTAGCTCACACATTTTTGTCTCGGCTCAGGAAGGAGGGCTCCCGAGCAAACTTATTGATGCAGCAGGCAAATTGCTAACTCACAGCTTTAATGCCGGTAACTCACAAAGTCGAATTTTTGCTCACAAGACTCCACAGCGTAGAGAGAGCGTTGGATTCAACGCAGCCGGAATGACAGGTCCTTGCCAGGAATGCAGTCTTATTAAACCTACCATATAAGAGAGCCAGTTTGGTGTCATGGTTAAGTGCGCGGACTCTAATCTGGGAGAACCGGGTTTGATTCCCCACTTCTCCACTCGCACCTGCTGGATGACCTTGGGCAAGCCATAGTTCTGACAAGAGCTGTCCTTGAAAAAGAGCAGTTTCTGTCAGAGTTCTCTCAGCCCCACCCACCCCACAGGGTGTCTGTTGTGGGGAGGGGAAGGGAAAGGAGTTTGTAAACCGCTCTGAGACTCCAAGTGAAGGGCAGGGTATAAATCCAATCTCTTCTTCTTCTTCTTCTAAGACCACTGGAGACGCAGCATTGAATCTCGCCAGGGAGAAGGCTCTCCGAGTTTGGGGAACTTGTAAGAGGGATAAGTTAAGAAGCCATCCGACCTGTAGTAAGAGGAACCTCAAAACTAAGAGGGGAACAGGACATATTAGCTAAACTATAAAGCTTTTGGGCTTCGATGTCAAGGATTCTGTGTTTGATTAACAAGTACGCACTCACGGAAGGGAACATATCCAGCGCATCTAGGGAAATTCCAAGAGGCAGGATTTTTTTCTTAACGCTGACCGGTTAGATCAGGGGTGTCAGACACAAGGCCCGGGGGCAGGAATGGGCCCAGCTAGGGCTCTTATGCGGCCCGCGAGCAACTGGTGCAAGCGAGGGAGTGCTGGGGGGGGAGTGGGCGGAGCCACTTCATTTGTGGCTTCAGCACGGCAGAACAACTCCATCTCCGGCGGTCAAGCATCGTGAGAGCATCTGCCCAGCGCTGCACTGCCACCTCTCCAGTGCATCTAATTGAGTTTCCTCTACACCCCACTCCCAATCCATGGGATCTTGCAGTGAGGATACACCAACTCGGAGATTACCAGCTGCTGTCCGTTATACAGTTTCTATCTCCCGTACCTGTTATTATGTTTTATGGCACTTAAAGTGGGATTTATGTCAGATCTGGCCCTCGTAACAAATGAGTTTGACACCTCTGAGCTATTTATTTATTTATCAGATGTATTCCCCGCCCTCCCCACAAAGCAGGCTCCGGGCGGCTTCCATACAAGCATAAATACAGTTAAAATCATACAATTATTTAAAACACAACAGAAAAAACAAATACAAACACAAAGTCCTGGCGGCAGTTAAAAGACTAACTTAGATGGCTCGTTTTCTATTGTGTAGTGGGTTAGCCGCATGGACGAAGGACAAAGACTGGCATAGTGCATAGCACGCTTTATTGGTACACAACACGAACTAACTAACGGCCAGCAGGCAAACTATATACACTCTTGGCGACACACCCCTGGGCCCCGTTGGTGGGTTTGAATCTCCCACCACGGTGCCCATTGGTTCCCCAGTGGAGGGACTAGGAGCCTAGTCCCTATTGTTATCCCAGAGTCAAGCTCTGGGATATTCGCTGGCCCCTGGTGGCGGTCAGCGGACACAACATTTTCAAAATAAATTTCCGCTTCCCAGATGTTCTCAGATGTTCTTCTGCTCATAATTTCTTGTGGCATCGACTCGATGTTAAAAACCGTGAGCCAGGGCTTTACGGCAGCAGCAGCCTCTAATTAAATGCCTGGCGGAAGAGCTCCGTCTTGCCGGCCCTGCGGAACACTGAGAGGTCCCGCAGGGCCCTGATCTCCTCCGGGAGCTCGTTCCACTAGGTAGGGGCTGCCATTGAGAAGGCCCTGGTAGTAGCTAGCCTGGGCTCCCTCAGGCCAGGGAGGGTCAACCGACTTTGAGACCCGGACTGTAGTGCTCTCTGGGGTATATACAGGGAAAGGCGGTCCCGTAGGTATGTCGGGAGTTAGAGATATTGAGCTCAGTGAGCATTTGCTGAGTGAAATCCCCTGCTCAATGTAATAATGTAAATGCAACCAGAGCTTAATCGTCATGAGCCATGCACTTGTTCCTACTAAATTTAGACCAGTTTCTAAACAGAGGGCTGCGTATGGAAGGCCGTGTGGACATTCTTAATGTTATTAATCGTGGTTCGCCGTTGCTGTGGGCGTCATTGCAGGAGAGCGACGAGGACGAGCCGGAGGGCCCGGAAGACGAGACGTGGAGCGAAGAGACCAGCCCCGAGCTGCGCGACGACCAGACAGACCTCTCCTCGGCAGAGGTGCCTCCGGCCAAGCCCACGAGCCCCATGAAGTTGCGAAGCAGTGCCGAGTCGGGCCAGGCGGCTTGCACTGAGAGAGGAAGGCGGGCTCAGAAAGCACTCTCGCTCCTCTGCGCTAAAGGGGCAAAGAGGGACCGGATTAAGCAAGTAAGGGTCTCTGTTACTCTTTTTGTCATGTGATCCTGACTGGGCCTATAGGATGGCACCCTCGCCGCCATGCCCCCCCCCCATTTCAAGTGCCAAAAGAGCTGCAAGGTTGGGCGGCCATTTATCTATATAAAAGCTCTTCCACCAGGCTTTTATATAGGGGCCGCCACCTCTGCCACCTCTATTACTACCATCACTGGGACAACGGGGTTGGGAGCGGTCCCCGGAAGAACGGCCATAATTCTGCATGGCACTGATGCTGCTGGACTGGCTCGGACCACCGACGGGACAATTTCACCCTAATGAAATGATCGATACCATCCTCAGAGACCATCTTGTTGTGTGGAGCACTTTATTTGTCTTTGTTGTGACTTAATAGCTTTTTACTGTTTTATCCTGTTTTTAATGGATGACAGGTAAGCAACCTGTCTTTATTAATCGTGGTTCGCCGTTGCTGTAGGCGTCATTGCAGGAGAGCGACGAGGACGAGCCGGAGGGCCCGGAAGACGAGACGTGGAGCGAAGAGACCAGCCCCGAGCTGCGCGACGACCAGACAGACCTCTCCTCGGCAGAGGTGCCTCCGGCCAAGCCCATGAGCCCCATGAAGTTGCGAAGCAGTGCCGAGTCGGGCCAGGCGGCTTGCACTGAGAGAGGAAGGCGGGCTCAGAAAGCACTCTCGCTCCTCTGCGCTAAAGGGGCAAAGAGGGACCGGATTAAGCAAGTAAGGGTCTCTGTTACTCTTTTTGTCATGTGATCCTGACTGGGCCTATAGGATGGCACCCTCGCCGCCATGCCCCCCCCCCATTTCAAGTGCCAAAAGAGCTGCAAGGTTGGGCGGCCATTTATCTATATAAAAGCTCTTCCGCCAGGCTTTTATATAGGGGCCGCCACCTCTGCCACCTCTATTACTACCATCACTGGGAACCTTTACTTTACCTTTATAACATACATATTTTCAAGTTTTGATAACTATTCAAATTATTAAATCGACCAAAAAAAAATCTTTTTAACTGTCACCAAGGATGTGATAAGAAAACAGCTTTCCGCATTACAAGCCTGCGGACTAACTTGGAATTACAAAAATGTTTCTTATTGAATTAACGTTAAGAGTCAGGATGAAGGGCAGCTTCGTTAAACGGGCCTAATGAAATATTAACTCGAAAAATGTGGGCTTTCCCAATGGGTAGCTTCACATATATCTCATCAGGACGTAATTACACGGCTTGCAAGGTTTTCAGGAGGCAAGTTCACAGCAGGCCCTGAGGGTGGGGAAGTCTCTTGGAACACCAATATATCAAAGCAGGTCATGTGGTAGGGTTGCCAAATCCATCTTCCACTCCCAGCGGGGGACTTTGGGGGCGTTCCTGGAGGGGGTGGGGCATCCCCAACATGATGACGTCACGTTGGGGACGTCTACCGCCCCACCCGCCCGTGCGCCGGATCTCTAGAAACGGCAGTTCCCTGCACTTAAAGTAGCCGGCAGCCGGCGTTTCCCCTTTAAGAGCAGCTGCATTTCCCTTTTAAGAACGAAGCTGGCTTTTCCCTGCAAGCTTGCGGAGTTCGCGCTTGAGATGAAACACGGGCTGCACACACTTAAAGGGAGAGAGATGGGTGGCTGTGGGTGTTGGGGGTGGGGCTTCCCCCGCCGGCCATCTGGCTGGTGGCGGGGAGAACCCCCCCAAAAGGTGGGACCCCTGGCAAACCGGGGGGGGGGGGTTGGCAACCCTACGATCAGGTGATGGCTTTCATGGCATTTTTAAATGTTTTAGTATGGGACAAGTTTCTTCATGGTGGCCATGAGGATACTGTCACATCTACTTTGGCCCTAAGACGGGACACCCCCGAGTCCCCTTCTCTGCTCAGATGTTAAATTAATTAGGTGACTTCCAGTCAGTCAGCCTCTCTCTCTCTCTCTGTCTCTCTCTCTGTCTCTCTCTCCCTCTCTCCCCCTCCCCACCCACCCTCAGCAGAGCTCCTCTTATGCTCTTATGAAGGCCTTGGCCTCTGTGCCCTGTTGTTAATCATCCAGAGGAACTGGTTGGCCGCTGTGTGAGACAGGATGCTGAACTAGATGGACCCTGACTGGTCTGACCCAGCAGGGCTCTTCTGATGTTCTTATGAAGGCCTCAGCCTCTCTGCCCTGTTGTTGGCCCTCCGGAGGAACTGGTTGGCCACTGTGTGAGACAGGATGCTGAACTAGATGGACCACTGGTCTGATCCAGCAGGGCTCTTCTGATGTTCTGATGAAGGCCTCAGTCTCTCTGCCCTGTTGTTGGTCCTCCAGAGGAACTGGTTGGCCACTGTGTGAGACAGGATGCTGGACTAGATGGACCACTGGTCTGATCCAGCAGGGCTCTTCTGATGTTCTGATGAAGGCCTCAGTCTCTCTGCCCTGTTGTTGGTCCTCCAGAGGAACTGGTTGGCCACTGTGTGAGACAGGATGCTGGACTAGATGGACCACTGGTCTGATCCAGCAGGGCTGTTCTGATGTTCTTATCGGGAAGGCTTCAGCCTCTATGCCCTTTTGTTGGCCCTCCAGAGGAACTGGTTGGCCGCTGTGTAAGACAGGATGCTGGACTAGATGGACTCTCACTGGTCTGACCCAGCAGGGCTCTTCTGATGTTCTTATGAAGGCCTCAGCCTCTGCGCCCTGTTGTTTATCATCCAGAGGAACTGGCTGGCCACCGTGTGAGACAGGAGGCTGGACTAGATGGACCACTGGTCTGATCCAGCAGGGCTCTTATGTTCTTAACTCCGTTTTTGCCCCCGTAGGAGATAAAGCAAGATGCCGAAGAGAAACTCGTCCTGGAGAGCAACCCACTGGAGTGGACGGTGACGGACGTCGTGAGGTTCATCAGGCTGACAGACTGTGCTCCTCTTGCCAAAATATTTCAGGAACAGGTAAGGCCAGTTTATTTTCCCGCCTTTTCTCTGTCAGACCTGACTCGACGTGGGATCGAAGACCATGAGGGGGAGGTCCCTGGGTGAAGTCCCACAACTGCCACAAACTGTCTAGGAGGCCTCCGGCAAGATCCATTTCTCCATTGGCAACATGGGCAATAATAATCAAGGCCTACCTTACGGAGCTGTTGCAAAGATTTCAAGAAGGGAGCCCTGGCATAGTGGTTAGAACGTTGGACTAGGTCTAGGGACACCCAGGTTCAAATCCCTGCTTGTCAGGATGACATTGGGACAGTCATTCTCTCTCAGCCTAGCCTACCTCTCAGGGTTGTTGTGAGGATGAAGAGTAGAAGAAGAAGAGTTGAATTTATACCCCCCCCCCTTTCACTTGGAGTCTCAGAGCTCCTTACAATCTTGTTGGGTTTTGAAAAATAAAACTTGGTTTTCAGCAGAGATAAAATAGCTTAGCAATGCCAGAGTAAAGTAATTCAGATCCAGAGTCCACGTGTGTTTAAAATAGAAAGTTTTTACTACATTCTAGCATAGGGAAGGGTAACTGGGATAAAAATAACAACAGAGCTAAGTTCCCTACATCTTTACACTACAACGACAAGTCTAGAAGGGGAGTTATGGCTTCTCTTTCTTTCTGCTTCAGAACTCCAGACAAAGACGGGAAGAGGAGCCATAAAATGCAAAAACACCTTGACACTTTACTTCCAATGAAACTCCTAGATCAGGGATGATTTTCCCGGGATTGTAGTTCTAAACTAACATTGGCTACATGAAACATGTGACTTCCTGTGACAACACAAACAGATACCCCAGATACACTGAAGTGTTTTCAGCTTGTAACACCCAACAAATCTCCTTCCCTTCTTCCCCCCCAAAACTGACACCAGTTTGGTGTAGTGGTTGAAAGCGACAGACTCTAATCTGGAGAACCGGGTTTGATTTCCCCCACTCCTCCACATGCAGGCATGACCTTGGGTCAGTCACAAGCTCTCCCAGTGCCGTTGTGGAAAGAGCAGTTCTCAAAAGAGTTCTCTCAGCCCCACGTACTTCACAGGATGTCTGTGGTGGGGAAGGGAGGAAGATTGTAAGGTGCCCTGCATATTCCATGTGAACAAAATACTAAAGTTCTGAACAAATAGATCTCCTGCTTGTCTGTCTGTCAACGTAGAGATAACTTTACTGCCCCGGGTTGTCCCTCTAAGCTGAGTGAGTGTGAGCTAGCTCACAGATTTTTAGCCTCCAGCTCACACATTTTTGTCTTCGCTCAGGGAGGAGGGCTCCGGAGCAAACTAATTTCTGCAGTCGCCAAATCGCTCGCTCACAAATTGAATGCCAGCAGCTCCCAAAGTAGAATTCTTGCTCACAAGACTCCGCAGCTTAGAGGGCGCATTGCAGTCACAACTTGAATGCCTGTAGGTCACAAAGTAGAAATTTTTGCTCACAGGACTCCACATTGCTCATACGCAGTGTTCCCTCTAAGCTGAGTGAGTGTGAGCTCGCTCACAGTCTTTTAGCCTCCGGCTCACACATTTTTGTCTTTGCTTAGGAAGGAGGGCTCTAGAGCAGACTAATTTTAGGCAGTAGCCAAATCGCCTGCTCACAACTTTAATTCTGGAAGCTCAGAAAGTAGAATTTTTGCTCTCAGGACTCCACAGCTTAGAGCAATGGTGGCGAACCTATGGCACGGGTGCCAGAGGTGGCACTCAGAGCCCTCTCCGTGGGCACGCGTGCCATCGCTCCAGCCAGGCCCAGACCATCATTAAAATGTCAAATTCTCTGCCAAATAATTGTAAGTAAATGAAAGCATTTGGGATTGCTTTCCTGACTTTGTTTGGATCATCTTAAGTTAATGTATGAGTTGTTTTTTTCTAAAGTAAAACCTCAGTATTCAGGTTAAATTGGAGTGTTGGCACTTTGCGATAAATAAGTGGGTTTTGGGTCGCAGTTTGGGCACTCGGTCTCTAAAAGGTTCGCCATCACTGGCTTAGAGGGAGCATTGTTGTCACCCTTCGTCCACCAACAGCCATTCACTCCTGCCTCGCGCGACTCTCAAAGGCCGGTCTCTCTTTCCGTTTCTCCTGCAGGATATCGACGGCCAAGCTCTCCTCCTGCTGACTCTCCCGACGGTCCAGGAGTGCATGGACCTCAAGCTCGGGCCGGCCATCAAACTGTGTCACCAGATTGAGAGGGTCAAGCTTGCGTTCTATGCCCAGTATGCCAACTGATGCCTCTGTTCCATGCTCCGCCTTTCCTTGAGCTCTGAGGGGGGCGCTAGGGGCACCGGCCTCCGGGTGGGGCCTGGAGATCTCCCAGAATTAGAACTGATCCCCAGACAACAGAGATCTGTTTCCCCTGAGAAAATAAGGTTAAACTCAACCACCAGTGGATGGACAGCGTATGCAAGTCTGCAGACCACCAAAGAAACCTGTACAAATCAAGTATCGGACAACAGATTGTGTCCTTAAAATGAATGAGTAGATCTTCTTCGTGGTCTCTGTGCATCACACCTATGGGATTATGCGCCTGCGCTCATCCGAATCGGTGGTATGCAAAGCTCACAAAGGGATTTTCGCGCCTCCCTCCCGGGCATGCGCGGGAACCCCACTGCGCATGCCCAAGGAGGAGGGGTGCGTACATCCCGCCAGTTCTCTTCTGACCGCCAGTTTGGTGTTGTGGTTAAGTGCGCGGACTCTAATCTGGGAGAACCAGGTTTGATTCCCCACTCCTCCACTTGCAGCTGCTGGATGACCTTGGGCAAGCCGTAGTTCTGATAAGAGCTGTTCTTGAAAAAGAGCCGTTTCTGTCAAGAGCTCTCTCAGCCCCACCTACCTCACAGAGTGTCTGTTGTGGGGAGGGGAAGGGAAAGGAGTTTGTAAGCCGCTCTGAGACACCTTTGGGTAGTGAAGGGCGGGGTATAAATCCAATCTCCTCCTCCTCCTCCTCCTCCTCCTCCTCCTCCTCCTCTTCTTCTTCTTCTTCTTCTTCTTCTTCTTCTTCTTCTTCTTCTTCTTCTTCTTCTTCTTCTTCTTCTTCTTCTTCTTCTTTTCTGCCGGTTGGTGAAGAAGCGTTATTTTCCTCTCATGAGGGATTATCCAAATCGTTCTTCTTTTTCCTTTTTACTACATTTATTTTGTTCGTTACAGTCCTTTTTCACAGAAGTTATTAACCACCCCCCTCTTCGTCTCTGAACACAATCACAGATGAAGCGGCCGTCCGTTCCCTCTGACTTCTTCAGGCCGCTGTCCCAGTGGTGGGGCCAGAAAAGCCCTGTCTGGCTTCAATCCGGCTCTCCTGCTGGGCTCAGAGACAAAGAGGGAGCGGTTAATAACTTCTGTGGGAAAAGGACTGTAAAAGAAAACACTAACTCATTTTAAGGACACAATTTGTTGTCTGATAGCTTGTTTGTACAGGTTTTATTGGTGGTTTGCACATCCCCTGAGGAAATGGCTGCTTTGGAGGGTGGAATCTATAGCACTGTACTCCAGTGAGGAATCTATAGCAGCTATACTCTACTCCCCAAACCAAACCCTCCCTGGGTTCCACTCACACATCTACAGGAACTTCCCAACTCAGAATTGGCAACCCTAGATGGCCCCTGGGATCCCCACGTTTCTGGGCATTTAGCAGCGCTGAGAGAAATAACCTCTCGGAGAATAACTTTAAAGGAAAGGAAACGCTAAAGTGAGCCCAAAGGAGCGGTTGTGCCGTTGTTTACTCCTTTTTCTCCCCGGGAAATCCTCCACAAGGGTCACAAACGGGACCGTGAGGTAGCAAACCGTTGAGATGGGCGGGGCTGTTAGGAGAGGCGGGAAAACAGGGGCCGGAAACCCACACGAAAAATGTCAGACTTTGCTTTCGCTGTCCAGCCTCCAGCGCAGGATCCGTATCCCTGGGCAGTTGGGGCCCCTCACAGTTTAATTTTTCTGTCAGTATAACTGTCGTCGCTTCCCACAGAGGATTCTGCTGGAGATCCTAACTCAACCACGACAGTGGGTTGGAGCACCTCCCTTATGAGGAAAGGCTGAAGACTGCAGCCCCGTAGCTAGGGAATTTTTTGGGAGGGGGCCTCGGGGGGCCTCCCACCAGTTAATTAAATGAAAGTACAGTGCAGGTGGTAAGTTGGAGCACTTTGGGGGCAGCCCGAGAGGAAAGGGGCCCAGAAGAAACACTAGGGAGCCAGGCCCCGTGGGCCCCATGTTAGCTACGGGCCAGCTGAAGAGTCCGGGACTTTTCAGTTTAGAAAAGAAATGAAGAAGGGGAGACACGATAGAGGTTCATACAATGGTGCACAGGTTGGAGAGAACTGGCTGAGAGGGATTTTTCTTCCTCTCCCCAAATACCAGACAACTGGAGGAGGGGGGGGCAGGATCAAGGTTTATAAAATCATGCATGGGGTGGGAAGAGTTGACAAAGAGATTTTTTTTCTCCCTCTCCCCAAATTCTTGAGGGCATCCAGTGAAGCTGATGGGCAGTAGGTTCAGGACAGACAAAATGATATTCTACTAACACAGAGTGTGATTAAAATGTGGCATTTGCTGCCAGAGGACGTAATGATGGCCACAGGAATAAACAGTTTTAAAAGGGGATTAGATAGATTAATGGAGAATAAATCTGTCAATGCCCACCAGCCATGGTGGCTGAGGGGAACCTCCACATTCGGAGGCACTAAGCCTCTGAATCCCAGAGCCAGGAGGCAACCTCAGGGGAAGGCCTCGGCCTCTGTGCCCTGTTGCTGGACTTCCAGAGGAACTAGTTGGCCACTGTATGAGACAGGATGCTGGACTAGATGGACTACTGGCCTGATCCAGCAGAGCTCTTCTTCTGTCCGACTCCTTACAGGTCCCAGAGTTCCCTGAGGCATAAAATAAGGTTGCCATCATTCAGGTGAGGCCTGGAGTTCTTCCAGACTACAGAGATCAGTTCTCCTGGAGAAAAATGGCTTTTTTTTAAAGAGGGTGGACTCAATGGAATCACATCCTTGCCGCTCTTCTTTCCCTCCCCAAACTCTGCCCTCCACAGGCTCCACCCCCTAAATCTCCGGGAATTTCCCAAGCCAGAATTGGCAACCCTATGTCGGAATGACTGCCATACCAATTTCTTTGTCAGAATTGAAGTGGACTGGGAAACACCTAAGGCACTGCGATAGGGAAATCATCAACTCACAAAACTACCGTTCCTGGGATTCTTTGAGGGAAGATTTGAGAGTTAATATGGTCTAGGCCTGCCCTCTCTTTCAAAAAACAATTACACACATGCGATGGAGAACACCGTCCTGAGATGATCAAACAAACGAAGCACAGACTGATAGAACAAAGCGTTTGAGCGTATCGAAGTATATTATAACATACAACAATATTATAGCAGATACTAATACACAATATTAATATTGTTGTATGTTATAATATACATTGGCTGCGGTCACACGGAACATTAGCCACGCAAGAGAGACGGAAGACAGGCGGATTTTCCGGGCGCGATCTCACCGGCACATCTGGGAAGCGTAGCGCTTCCGTGGCACAACCAAGGCTTCCTGCCGAAAACAGGCAGCAAAAAACTAGTACCTCGGAGGTACTAGTTTCCGGAAACCGCGGAGCAAGGGCGGGCATCTGATCGCGTTTCCGGTGGCATCCGGCGCCCTCCCATGTCCCCTTGCGAAAAAGGGTTTTTTCCCCCTAAGTCTCCGTGGATGCGCACACGCACCCAACGGAGCATGCGCATTTGTCGTTTACACAAAAAAAGAAAACCAGTTTGCCGCACCGCACACTTCTTTGTTGCGCGCAGGCGTGTCCTGTGATCGGCACCTCTCCCTACCCACGGAACCTCCACGGTACCTCCACAGGACCTCCACAGGAGGTCTGATCGCTTAACCGCGCGTTAGTTTGCCCCGGGGCAAACAGCCATGCTTCCAAACCGCAGTTTCCTGCCCGTGTGACCAGAGCCTACATTTAGCAAAGAAACAATACTGAAGCAAGACAGAGAAATAGCAAAGAAACTAAATTAATGATTTGTATCATTCTTAAATGCAGAAACTAAGGAAATACCCACTAAACTATTGCAAATGTGAATCTGGAAAGTTAGACAAGTAAGTAGAAAGTACGGCTGCTACCCTGGGCTGGAGGCCCTGAAGCACAGCCCAACAAAGGTGCCCCCTCAGCACTAAAACTTACCTTATCTATGTGAAAAATCAGTCAAAAAATGATAAAATAAAGAGCTAAAGGGTCTGTTACACAAATCAGCTGATGAGTTAAATGCTAACCAGATCCAGCCAGCTGTGTTTATACTCAATGGAAATTAAACAAATGTGAGATGAACTTTAGTCACTCCCCATGCCAAACAAAACATATTTAACAATGCAGATTAAAGTCGAACACGGCAGGTAAGGACAATTACAAAAAATTTGGACAATTACAAAAAAGTCGAGTGTGGCAGTGAGAGAGTTAAGGGCATGATAGCTAGAGGAAAAAACTCTGTGATGCCCCCCTGCTTTCCTTGTTGCCCTAAGCATGTGCCTTCTACCAGAAATACATTCTTAAAACAAACGTTTCACCGGGCGTGACTTAGTTCATGAAGCGAAGAGTCATTCCGAAGGTTTTCGTCGAATTCACTTGCATTTTGATAGAAGTTCACCTTCACCTGAAACTTACCATTCTTTTGTGTATTCGTATCTGCTTTAATATTGTTGTATGTTATAATATACTTTGATACGCTCAAGCGCTTTGTTCTGTCAGTCTCTCTTCAAAAAAGACATGTTTGTGGGATGTAGGGTTGCCGCTACTGCCTGAGCAAATGCCATGGCGTTTTGAGGGTGGCGTTTGGGAAGGATGTGACATCACTTCTGGGTAACGCCCTGGGAATTTCCCTTCATCCCTATGGTAAAGACAGGGAGACATAGGGGAATTCCTAGAGTGTCACTAGTCTCAGCACTGCACCACACCGGATCTTAGGAATCCAGTCTCCCTTAGCACTTTCCTTTCCAAGCTGACTGACAGCATTCCAGCTGTTGTTGTTTTTTAAAGACCTCTGTAATTGCAGCATTCGCTAGGGAAAAGCAAACTATAGGAGTAATACCTATCTGCATGTACAACAACTCATCCACTAAAGTGTATGTGAAGAGAAACCCCTGCAGAATTGGGATGATAAAATAACTCTGCCACTTCTTGACGGTTAGTAGCAGCCGCTTGAAGAGTGGGCCTCCGCTGGGTCCTGCGATCAACACCCTGCAATT